ACATAGAATTTACGGCTACATCTAGCCATCCAACTCGGCTGTAAGTTGATAAGACATCGTCACTAATCTAGTACTGCGCTTAAATTAACCCATTACCTGCCATGAGCCCCACTTGGAAATCTGTTAAAATTAAACTCACTACATGTTATTCCTTGTATTTACATTGAATTGCTTACATACGTTGCATTTGCAAAAGTATATTTTACAACATTAGCCTTTAAAGTTTTATTATTAGCAGTAACTAATCATAGAAGACACTTTCTGTCGTTATTTTACACTTCACGAGTAGAAAAATAGTGACTATTTTGAAAAATATTTTTTATTATTTCTAATCAATATTATGTTTTGATGTTTTATACACATATGTATTTGATGTTCTAGTTTCTATAAAGTTTCAAAGTAGCAGCTATTAGAAGAAAATTTTAATATTGTATGTTTTTTTAACCCTTAAGACAACTGTCTGGACCAAAAATGTGCATTAAAAAACTTGGCAGTCAATGGGTTTAAAAAAATCTAGATACCACAACGAAGAGCTAATCCGATAAATATATATATATATATATATGTGTGTGTGTGTGTGTGTGTGTGTATATATATATATATATATATATATATATATATATATATATATATATATATATATATATATATATATATAATTATTTATATATTATATGCGCATTACTTATTAAGCGCTCAATATCAGAGATAGAGCTAACATATTTGGTTGGATTGATGTGAGGTTGTGACCATGGGTTTCACGCTTTTGCGATCATCGCAAAAGCGTGAAACCCAGGTCTAACCTCACATCAATAATATATATATATATATATATATATATATATATATATATATATATATATACAGATATATATATATATATATATATAGAGAGAGAGAGAGAGAGTAAAAAGTGCTCAATAAACGAATAAAGAAGCGAAAAGAAAAATTTATCATGCAGAGATTTTAAATTTAAAAACAAATTAAATTTAAATATTAGAAAATGAAAAAATGTCGGCTATTTTTTAAATATATATATATATATATATATATATATATATAGAGAGAGAGAGAGAGAAATTCCTAATTTTTCCCGTTTGTGTTTTCAGCAGTAATTCAATAGGAAAGACGATGTGTTTATTGTTTTGTTTTATGGTGAGATTATTTGAATTGTTATATCCGATATCTCTGCGTTAAAAATATACACAATGGTTTAACAAAGACTGACTGCCAATATAAAATGATATTCATACGATATTTCAGACAGCTGCTGCAAGACGTAGATACCGTAATGCGGTCGTGATTACTTCTAAATAAACTTTCCAAACAAGTGATCAGACGTGGCTTCTTTACTTATTCATAATTTTACTTCAGTCGTTAACACCTTCACATCTATTCATGGACTGAGTTGCCCCCGACTGATTCAGTGTTTCTAAACATTTTTAAATATAACCATACCTTAGAGCCGTGTTGCTGTTTATATATTTTTAACTTCTTTTTTTTGTCACAAGTCTGCGCCATCTGTTTTATTTCTTCTTCTTCTTCTTCTTCTTCTTCCGCCTTCTCTTCTTCGTCTTTTTTGTGGCCTCTTTTTCTTCCTCTTCCTCTTCTACTTCTTCTTCTTCTTCTTCTTCTCTTTTTTCTTTTTCCACTTCTTGTTCTAGTTTTTATTTTTCTCTATCTTTCTCCTCTTCTTCGTCTTCTTTTTCCCTTTTTTCTCCCTCTTCTTTTTCTTTTTCTAATTCTTCTTTTTCTTCTTCTTCTTCCTCCTCCTCTTCTTCTTGTTTTCGTCTTATTTGTCTTCTTTGTACCCTTTTCCTCATTTTCTTTTTCTTCTTCTTCTCTTTTTTCTTCTTCCTCTTCATGTTCTTGCTCTTCTTTTTCTATTTCTTCCTCCTCCTCTTCTTCGTCCTCTTTTTCCTTTCTTTTTCTTCCTCTTTTTCCTTTCTTTTTCTTCCTCTTTTTCCTCTCCTTTTTTTCTTCTTCTTCTTCTTCTTCTTCTTCTTTTTGTGCCCCTTCAGGATATAGTTAATCATGACTTTTCACGACTTAGTATCCTTTTCATGTTTTTTTCGTTATCCCTCCCAACACTTATTGTGTCATCCATTTACACAAGCTCTTTACGTAGGCTAATACGAGTTGTATTTTTCCTCTGTCCTTTTACTTTCAGTGTGCGTGTCAAATTTTCCAATTCCACTTTCTTGAAATAAATCTTCAATTAAATTTCTTCGATAGTTAATGATTCCGTTAATGGTATACGTGCATTCTTCTGTAGAAGCAGATTTCTTTTGTCACAAGTCTCTTCATTTGTGAAGCGATTATCCACCATTCACTGTCATACCTATTTTATTTCATTACTTTGTATTGTCTTTGAAAATTTTCATAGAAAATTTGCCGAATTGTTAACACCTACAAAAGAAGTCTATGCCTATTTTTGCTGTTCTATCATATGACATTATGGGCTGATTACAATACCTTAAGCAGATGGCATAACAGTTATCAACATGAAAATCGGATATTAGCAAACCGAGTTCAAATTTCGCCTCAGGCTACTGATGTTCATTTACCATTAATACACCTAGGAAAGCAATGAGACTCTATCCTTAAATTGTGTCTCACCACCAGGTATTTTGACAAAAATGTCTTGTATAATGTTATCGTTGTAAAGAAGAAGAAAGAGACTAAATCATTCATATATAATATTATTCCTTGTTTACGCCCGGGCTTTGAAGTTAATATCTGCGTAGCATTATATGTTGCTTTGGCGACGTAACGTTATACGAGGCTCTTGGCGGCGTAACGCTATACATGGCTTTGGAGGCATAACGTTATACGAGGCTCTTGACGGCGTAAAGTTATACGTGGCTTTTGGGGGTGTAACGTTATACGTGGCTTTAGGGGCGTAATGTTATACGAGGCTCTTGACGGCGTAAAGTTATACGTGGCTTTTGGGGGCGTAACGTTATACGTGTCTTTGGGGGCGTAACGTTATACGAGGCACTAGGCGGCGTTATGTTATACGTGGTTTTGGGGGGCGTAACGTTATACGTGGCTTTGGGGGCGTAATAATATACGAGGCTCCTAGCAGCGTAAAGTTATACGTCGCTTTGGGGGCGTAACGTTATACGAGGCTCTTGGCGGCGTAACGCTATACATGGCTTTGGAGGCGTAATGTTATACGAGGCTCTAGACGGCGTAAAGTTATACGTGGCTTTTGGGGGCGTAACGTTATACGAGGCTCTTGGCGGCGTTATGTTATACGTGGTTTTGGGGGGCGTAACGTTATACGTCGCTTTGGGGGCGTAATGTTATACAAGGCTCCTGGCAGCGTAAAGTTATACGTCGCTTTGGGGGCGTAACGTTATACGAGGCTCTTGGCGGCGTAACGCTATACATGGCTTTGGAGGCGTAATGTTATACGAGGCTCTTGACGGCGTAAAGTTATACGTGGCTTTTGGGGGCGTAACGTTATACGTGTCTTTGGGGGCGTAACGTTATACGTGGCTCTTGGCAGCCTAACGACATATGCGGCTTTGGGGGCATAAAATTATACTTGGCTCTTGGCGGCGTAACTTTATACATGGCTTTTGGGGGCGTAAAGTTATACGTGGCTTTGTGTGTGTAACGTTATACGTGACTTTTGGGGGCGTAACTTTATACGTGGCTCTTGGCGGCTTAACGTTATACGTGTTTTTATGGTAGCGGAAGAGGCAGCTGAAATTTCTGGGACACATAATGAGAAAGGAGTGCTTGGAGAATCTGATACTCACAGGTCGAATAGTGGGAAAGAGCGACAAGGGAAGGCAACACATGACATACCTAGCGGGCTTAAGCAAGTGGAAAACAGAACACCGCCTGGGGGGAAGTAGCAAAAGGACAAAACTTATTGAGAACAACAAGTGATAGGAGGAAGTGGAGAGCCATGATCGCCTACATCCTGGAGGGACACGGTACATAAAAAGAAAGAAGACGTGGCTTTGGGGGCGGAACGTTGTGTTGTTTTGGCGGCATAACATTATTTATTGCTTTAGCAGTATAACGTTATACGTGGCTTTGGGGCACACATTATGCGCAAATCTTTGTGATGTAACGTTATACGTGGCTTTGGAGACGTAACGTTCAGCGTGGCTTTGACGGTTTTATACGAATGAAGATCTCGCAACAACGTGAGATACTCTCCGTCTCTTCCCTTTCAGGTGCGATCTTTACATAACTTCATATCGCCCAGGTGTCTCACGTCGGAACTAAGCGCAGCTCGATCGACCAATTGTTGTTTTACATATTGGTGCCCCCCCGTGAAACCTGATTCTTCAGATCACCGGCTAGGTCAACCCTCCGAGGCACCGGGTTTCTTTGATACTTTTGTGATGTCAACGAACACTCGATTGACACTTTTGTGATGCCAACGAATACTCTTTGTCACTTTCGTAATGCTCCTTGTAGTAGAGACTTTGTAATCGCAGATACACCTATAGTAACGCCGTTGAACAATACTGGTGTCAGACGCCTTCGAATATCACTTGCTGGAATAGTAATCCGTATAGAGACATAGTATAGTGAATAGAGTATAAAATAGCGGTCCGTATAGTGATAGAGGATAGAGTAGAAATAGCGATCCGAATAGTATAGATAAACTAGAATATAGCGATCAGTTAGACGTTACGCTACTTTCTATTTATGCGTTTCCTCTATGGTCACGTGGTCTACTTAATTCAATAATGGGATCGCCCGTGTTTGCTCACTGGCGATCTAAGTTCAAACTCATGTGTCGGCAGCGATATTTTATTCCTATATAGCAGATACTCTGGCATGACACTGAGTTTAAAATCCACTTTGGCACGAGCTTGAGCCCAGTATATATTGTGTTCATAGATAATCTTCTCTCTGATCAAGGGCTCTTTATTGACATTAAATTTGATTCATGCCTCTAGCATTTCCCGGCCTGAATCACATGCCGCATATCTCTGTATCTAATAATGATCACTTTATACCTCAATGGCTTACGGCGATATCACTTTGAAACACCGGTTTTCGTACGATCGCCGAAATTAAGCAACGTTGAATCTGGTCAGTACCTGGATGGGTGACCGCTTGGGAATACCACGTGACGTAAACCTGGATGTGAATATGGTATAATAAATAACACTACGGAATTTACTCCTGTCTCAATAGTAAATTTGGTATCGTTGACAAAACTAACCTGGCCACCGGTCTCGCAAAGGACTTCCAATCTGTGGTTGACTGGGGCAAGAAATGGCTTGTAAACTTCAATGCCTCCAAAACGAAACTGCTCTCATATACCCACCACAGAGAACCATCCCTGCCTCCCATCAGAATGCCGGATGTCCAAATCCTCAAGAGCGCCTTGTTACGCCTGGTTGGTCTCACGCTGTCCGCTGATATGAGGTGGAATAAATACATTGAATCAATAGCTTCATCTACCGCAAGGAAAGCTGGTTCTCTGTGTCGTACCAGAAAGTTTTTCACGTCTGAGTCCATCCTTCAAATCTATAAATCAACCATCCGCCCTAGCAAGGAATATTGTTGTTATATATGGTCTGGTGCTCCCGATGTACGTCTCGAGGTTCTTGACAAATCCAGAGACGAATATGCAATGCAATAGGTCCTGATCTGGCATTTCATCTACAGTCGCTTTCTCACAAACCTGCCGTGGCTTTCCTCTGTCTTTTCTACAAGTATTTTCATGGCAACTGTCCCGACGAGTTGCTTTCGCTGGTTCCCAGACTTCATGAATTTAAGCGAGCTACTAGGTTGGCATGTCGGTCCCACCCTTTCACTGTCGAAACGGTTAAATGTAACCGTCTCTTCTACTCCAACAGCTTCTTCTCTTGCACTTCCGGTCTGTGGAATTCTTTTCCTCTTACTTGCTTCCCTGATAACTATAATCTTCAAATATTCAAGTGTAATGTCAATCGACATCTTCTGATACCTTGATCTTCTTCCCCCTCCTTCTCTTTATCCTCTTCCCAAACGCGCCTCTTTACTCTTGTTCCCTGTAACCCCTTCCGTGGCACTCCCGCCTTGCTTGGGGTGAAATGCTTAAAAAAATATTGAAATTGAGGCGAGTTCCAGTCGGCCTCGTTTTATTCACTTATGTGCAAATATCCTTAGGAAAGTTATTAATCCAGCTCTTCTCCCCACTATGGGTAAATTAGTAAGAGTTGTAAAGACATAAATGTATGCATGGTTTTGGGAGCTTTCTACAAACGAAGATCTTCTCGCAAGGATGTGACAGACTCTCCGTCTTTTCTCTTTTTCTCTTACTCTCTTTCTCTCCACTCCCCCCCCACCGTGGGGCGCTTATATAACTTACCGTCATCCAGTTATTCCACGTCTGCATATTCTAAGCTCATCAGAGTAGGCCATCTGTTTAGGCAGTGAAATCCACTGAAGCACGCTTCTGCAGTAAGTGTATTTGAGATTACCTTCTAGGTCAACACTCTGATGCACCTGTCTGCTCTGATAGTCTGGTATGACACCGAGTGTAAAGCCTATATTGCGCTTATCATATATCAACTACACTGAAAATAAAGGTTATTTATTGACATCAAATTTGTTTCAGTCTTCATTGCGAGTTTGAAACTTTAAGCAAATTTTGAGGGATAAAGAATTTTTTTAATAATGTCATAACTTACAAAGGTTAAAATAATGTTGTCAGTTGGCAGAATGATCGGCAGTTGCCAACGAATTTTGAATGCAGTTCAGATAATAACAAATTGATGATTTTATCTCATCGATCTCTATACCGTATCATCATTAGTCCCTAACCGAATGTGGTCGTAGGGTCTCAACTGAGCAGTTGACCAATTGTCTCCGCATGAAACCGTATTCAATCTTAAGTAGCGGGTTTTCGAAAAGTAGATCTGACGGAGCTCATCCCTCTACTGACCAAACTACAGCCGATGTCCTTCAACTTGGAAGTACCTTCCAGTATTGATGGGGGCCTTCTTTCTTAACTTTTTGCTTGAAGTACTGTGAAAATGTAGTATTGGATAGCGGCACAAATTGAGGAATCGGAGAGCCAAATTCGATTTCTAATCGAATCCATTACATTCACTTATGTGCTAATACCCTTGGGGAAGGTGTGAACCGTCTTTTTCTCGTCAAATCCCCCCCCCCGCTGTGGGTAAGTAGCAGGATAGACTGGGTTCTATAACCTTGGATGGCAATTGGTCTACAGCAAGAAAAAATGGCAACCTACTGCGGGAAAAAAATCTGCCTCGTCAGTCATGTATTGAAAGATACATGATCGCCTATGCGTGTATCACGCATGGCACATAACTAACTGAGTGTGAAACGTTAACATCTTGACCATCATTCACTGTAATATTGGAGGGACCGATATTAAATAACAGTTCTGCAATCTTTTTTGTTCCTGACGAAATTTCCCTCGTAATGCGTTGCTTAACTGTTAGAAGGCAACTTTCGCTATTCCAGCTTACTTTTCTCTCTCAAGACATCCGACTTTTTAACTTTACAATCATTCTTTAATTATAATTTCTCTTTACAATATAAAGCTTCTCAGTGTCACATTAACCTACATTAAAATTTGAAACAAACCAGATAAAATAATATGACTGTCACATCATAAGAGTGACATGCGCTCAAGTAAAATTCACAAATATTAACAGTGCAAATGGTTGAGCGAATCGGGTTATTAATTTTTATAATTAAAATATAAAATTAAAAAAATTAAAATAAAAAAATGAAAAATATATTTTACTTGTCATATATTTAAAAATTCGAAAACTTCATCTTAATTTGTTTATTGTTAAGTCTATTTTGTTTAATATTGAGCCCTTTAATTATATAACCTGCTTGTTTTAAAAAGCTTTACCCTCAAGGAATACATTGATCGACAATTTTTTTATAACAGCCTTTTTTAATTATTACGATATACATTCGTATATATATATATATATATATATATATATATATATATATGGTTGGATTGATGTGAGTTTGTGACCCTGTGTTTCACGCTTTTGCGATCGTCAGATACTCACATCAATCCAACCAAATATGTTAGCTCTATCTCTGATATTGAGCGCTTTGTAATAAGTACCGCGCATATAATATATAAATAATAATATATATAATATATTATATATATATATATATATATATATATATATATATATATATATATATATTTTATGTTTATATTTATATACATACACTTTTCACATATATATATATATGTGTGTGTGTGTAATAAAATGTTTACATTTTTACATACGGACAAAATCAATTACTCACGACTAAGATGCATTTTGTTTCGATACAGAGGACCATCTCGACGGGTGAGGAACAAAATAGCGAAAGTCTGAATTTATATTCTTACCGTTCTCGCTACATTTAGAAAGTTTCGTTGTAAAAAACAAAATGAAAAAAAAAAACAAACATTTTAGTCATGGTTCCTTATTTACCACCCTCCATGCACTTTTTCAGTTTCGCCGTTTATTTATTCATTTATTTATTTTTTGTATGTTTACATATATATATATATATATATATATATATATATATATATATATATATTTTTTTTTTCGCTACACAGTTCTAACCATGTTTCAAAAATGGAAGCTAAAAGCTTCGAATTTAATTTTGTAATTAAATTAAAGACATTAGTTCCATTTCATCCTCAAGCGAATTTTGGAGTAACTTATTTTTAAAATTACTGGGTTTTAAAGGCACGGCAAAAAATCATAATTCACGTTTCTAATGATACAGAGAAATCCATTCATCCAGACAAGGGGTGGTTGCGTGTTCATTATCGCTGTATTTTGTTGTATCCGTTATTAATTACGTTTGAAGAAGTGTTTTCGTTTAGGTAGGGGTAGGGATGTATTTTTCAACGAATTCTGACATCTGTTAAATGCATGTCGTATGGATTTTCTTTTTAAATTTATTGTTAACGGCAAAAATTCTTATTTTATTCTATTTGTATACTTAAAGTTTTTGGGGGGATGTTTAGGTTAGAATACGTTTTATTTAACTACGATTTTTAAAAATATTTTCACTTTTAATTTTTAATATACTATATTTCCATTTAAAACAAGTAAATGTATTAGAATTACTTACAGTATGTAAACTGTTTATAATAAACAGTATTAAACAACATTTACCGGACTGAATGTCCGGGAAATTTTCACAGAAAATATTCGTCCTCCGACAGGATTCGAAACCTGTATCCTATACGGAACACGTCATTTAGCTTGACGTGCCTTTGCCGATTTGGCCACAGAGGAGCGTTCGGTTAGCAAAGTCGAATTAACTGTATTTAAACTTCAATCTTCCATGAATCTCTCACGTACATTCATATCTGCTCATGGTGCATCAAATGTAAACAAATGACGTCACACATTATGAAATGGACAAAGTCCGACAATTATTTTAAGACATTTTTATGTTTATATATATATATATATATGTGTGTGTGTGTGTGTGTGTGTGTGTGTGCACAATAAAATCTTTGGAAATTAAACAATTTTCAGTTACTCCTTTAGCCTTCTTCGGTGCTTTTTAATGAATAGTTTGCTTTAATTTTCTATTTTTCTCCCTTTTTTTTTAATTTGGCTAAATTTCAAATCTAGCAGACGTTAACGACCTCAGTTCGAGAATTCTCAACCCTTTGGCGGTGTCATTTGATAAAGATCTTTATGGCTTCTGCTCAAATTAATCACTTTTTGTCATTTCTCCCAATCAGATGATGCTAATTATAATTGATGAGATGTGTAGCCGAGAACTCACAAGAATATAAGATGAGCAGTATTTAATAATTATTATAATAACTGCAATAAAAGATGTAATGATAAAAATGAAAGCGCGCAAGTAAGGGAGATATTATCTGTGACTATAGAGTGATTAGAATAGGAATAATGTTAGTAATGACTATAAAAATCTAGTAGTAGTAGTAGTAGTATTAGTAGTCATAAAAATGTGAGGGGCATAAAGAGAAAAATCCCTTCTTTTCTTTTTATGTGCCATGTTTTTCAAGACATAGGTGATCATGGCTTTCCACCTCCCTCTATCCCTTGCAGCTCTCAAACAAGTGCCTTTCCTCTACTTCCTCCCCCAGACCACGTTCTGTCATCCACTTGCTTAAGCCCGCCAGGTATGTCACGCGGTGTTTTTCTTTGTCTCTCTTTCCCGCTATTCAACCCGTGAGTATCAGATTCTCCAGGCCCTCCTTCCTCATTATATGTCCCAGAAAGTTCAGCTGCCTCTTCCTTATATTACGTATAAGCCCCCTCCTTGTTTGCAACCTCTCTAAGACCTCATCGTTGCTTACACGCTCGGTCCATGATATCCTTAGCATCCTTCTGTAGAACCACATCTCTGTCGTCTCGAGTCTCTTCTTCATCTTTGAGAAAATCGTCCAACATTCGCTGCCGTAAAGAATGGCAGATGTCACGTAACAGCTCAGTATTCTTTTCTTTGTTACCAAAGAAATCTTCCTGTTTCGCAATACTCTGCCCAGCCTTAAGTATACAATACACAAACATCTATATGGATGCATATATATATATATATATATATTAAGAAATGGACAAAGTCCGACAATTTATTTATTAAAGACATTTTTATGTTTAACGTTCTTTTTTATAGATACAAGTATTTAAGTAAATGCTCTGTTTATAATAAACAGTATTAAATAACATTTACCGGCCTGAATGTCCGAAAAATTTTCATAGAAAATATTCGTTCTTTGACAGGATTCGAACCTGCATCCTATACGGAACCGTCATTTACGCTGACGTGCTTTACCGATCGGCCACAAAGAAGCGTTCGGTAGACAAGGTCGAATTTACTGCTTACAAACTTCAATCTTCCATGAATCTCGTACATTCATAACTGCTCTGGCGTATCAAATGTAAAAAATTTGTGAAGTTTAAATGTTATTTAATACTGTTTATTATAAACAGAGCATTTACTTAAATACTTGTATCTATAAAAAAGAACGTTAAACTTAAAAATGTCTTTAATTAATAAATTGTCGGACTTTGTCCATTCCTTAATATATGACATCATTTGTTTACATTTGATACGCCAGATATGCCCCGAAAGTAATGCCATCGTTACATTTATACAGAAACTGCAACTGCATAGAGCAAGTTTACGGCCAAAATAAAATCATATTTTTATCAAGATCACTGGCCCCGTATTTTCGACACTGATCAACAAAATCCGACGCTGGACCGCTTGGAATGTGGCTCGTCACACACATCACTGCCATACGTCCTGATTATAACGATCCGGCAACAAGACTACTGATTGGGAGGTTTTTTTGGAACCAGCTCTTAATTGCTATTGTTTTCCAACTCTAACCTGGGATGGTAGCATCTATTAGAGTCCCAACTATGGGCAAATACTGCCACTCCATACCCCAACTAAAACACTATAAAAGTATAAAAATAAATTTTAATACTAAAAATACCAGCAATATATATTATATATAAAAAAAAATTCCAACAATGCATTTTATCTGTATTGGAAGAGTGTGAAATTGCGTTCAAAATATATTTTACGACGAATAAAACACTATTTTTATCAACCTCTCTAGCCCCGTATTTTCGACACTGATCAACAAAATCCGAGGCTGGGCCGCTTGGAATGTGGCTTGTCATACATATCACTGTCGCTACTGCATACATTCGTCGCTGCCGTACGTCCTGGGTATAACGATAAACTACATCCGGCAGCGAAGCCTCTGATTAGAAGATTGGAGGTTTTGAGGAGCGTGAAACCCCCCTCTTAATTGCTCTTGTTCCCAGGTCTGCTCTGACCCGTAATGATAGCACCTGTTAAGGTACTAGCTAAGGGCAAATAATGGCGCCCCAAACAAAACACTATGAAATTATAAAAAAAAAAAAAAAACATTTTAATACTAAAAATAGCAACAATACATTTTTAGCTGTAGCTGAAAGCATTCAATTGCGTTGAAAATATATTTAGTTGAAGTCATACAATTATGTTCAAAATATTTAGATTTCGGCATTAAATAACCCATAGAGGTATTGATACGCCGCTAAACAAAATCAACCAAACCAACCAACCCTGTGCCACAAATTATCCTCTACCACGCATTACCCATCTCTGAAGTGTACTTATATTCACTGCTTGCTTTCCGTAATCGTTCAGTAATTGTCGATGAATGTCAATGGGTGCATTTAGTTCAGCATGGAGCAATTAAATGGCGCATTTTTTTGTCAAACTGCTTTCTCTAACAAGGCAAAACAAATTATGAGTTAATGTTTGGAAATCTCAGCCACCGTTTCGACCAGCATCTGCCTATGACTTCGCAGTAAATCATAACAAAACAAATGACACTATTTATCTTGTAGATGAGATTTACAAGAAAGGTACGTTCAGAGCTTCTAGCCACATGATCAAACATCAGATATTTAAAGAAATTCTTCGTCGGTCTGAGAACCTTTAATCAGAGATAACCATTGATTTAAAAAAAGAAAATAAATGTTCATGAGCAAGGGTAAGCAAAAGGCATTAGCCAGCCACCTTAAAGAATGAATAGTGCGTTCGATCTGCACTGGGTGTCCCACACTTTTGATCGTACCACATCTAAGCTACACTTAGAAAATCACCAGTAGTGTAAGAATTAACAAGCTTGTCTCGCTAGATCAGTTAAGACTTAATAGTATGTTCGATCCTCATTGGGTGACCCATCGTGCTACATCTAAGCTACACTTAGAAAATCACCAGAGGTGTAATTGTTAGAATGCTTGTCTAGATAGATCAATTATGACTGAATAGTGAGTTCGATTCTCACTGGGTGCTCGATGTTTTCGCCATTGTACCACATTCAAGCTAACTCTTAGAAAATCACCAGTCGTGTAATTCTTAGCAAGTTTGTCTCGCTAGATCAATTATGACGGAATAGTGAGTTCGATCCTCACTCGATGCCTCACACTTTCGGCCTTGTGCCACGTCTAAGCTCCGCTTAGAAAATCACCAGTGCTTTAATGGTTAGCAAGCTTGTCTCTCTATATCAATTACGACCGAATAAGGAGTTCAGTCTTCACTAGGTGTCCCATACTTTCGCCAGTGTGCCACATCTATGCTACGCTTAGAAAATCACCAATGGTGTAATAATGGTTAGCAGGCTTGTCTCGCTAGATCAATTACGACTGAATACTGAGTTCAATCCTTACTGGGTGTCCGATACGTTCGGCGTAAGGGCCACATCTACGGTACGTTTACAAAATCACCAATGGCCTAATGATTAGCAAGCTTTCTCACTAGATCATATACGACTGAATACTGAGTTCGACTCGCACATTGTGCCCCATACCTTCGTGCCTTGTGCCAAATCTTTGCTACGCTTAGAAAATCACCAGTGGTGTAATGGTTAGCAGGCTTGTCTCGCTAGATCAATTATGACTGAATAGTAAATTCGATCCTCACTTTGTGCCCAATGCGTTTGGCCTTGTGCCACATCTAAGATTCGCTTATAAAATAACCAGTGGTGTAACAGTTAGCAAGCGTGTCTTGCTAGATCGCTTACAACACAGTTGTGAATTCCATCTTTACTTGGTGCCTTATACTTTCAAACTTATGCCACATCCAAGGTGGCAATAAAAAAATAAATTTGTCTTGTAGACATGAAGATTACGTATAAATTTCATTTCGTCTTTTTTTTTTTCCTAGGGTAAAGGAATGGCTAACACGTACTGGTTACTTGGGAAGGAAGGATTCAGTAAAGAATTGCCCAAAGATCCGACAAACGGGTAAGTTCACTTATTATTCAATTTTAATTAATTAAACTAATAAAATAAACAAATTCTTAACATTGAATAAAAGGTTCAACTCAAAATCATTTCCCTCCATTCAAGGCGATAATGCCACTAAGATGCAGGGATCAACTAGAAATAAAAAAGAATTGAAAAAAAAAACTTTAAAAAGAACTGGAAACCGAATCTTAAACATGGAAACAAAGAATAAACCTCTACTCCTGTTCAAAAGAACTGGGAGGAGTTTGAAACAAATATGTTCACACCTTTCCAGTCTTTTGAACATGAGCAGAGGTTTATCCCTCGTTTTCTGTTTAGGATTGTGTTTCCTTCCAAAATCTTTTCATTCTCTTATATTTTTCCAATCCCTACAATTTTCAATCTAAAGTTAACAGTTATATTTCCTGCATAACCCCATGAACTTCACTCTTTGCCCTTTCTTACACTCATAGAGCACCACATAGTATCCCTCTACCTTGAGTGGTACTTGAGCCTTGTAGTGGGTGACCATTAGTAAAAAATAAAATTACAGAACTCTCCTCAATATTCCAGCTGTTCTTAGTGGTGCTGTCGTCGTCTAGATGGTTTTGATTTTTTTCCTCGGATGGCCACTCTTTTCGGACGCTTTCTGAGTCTTTCAAACTCTTCTCAGGACTCCTGTCATGAGTGACACGACTGTCACCTACATGCTCCACAACTTTTTCAATTCTATGGCAGGGGCAAGATACTTTTCAAACTTTTTCTATTCTTTTAGTTTTGTTCTGTGTTATGATAGAATAGGGATTATGGCCATATCACATTGAAACACCAGTTCTCGTACGATCACCGAAGTTAAGCAACGTCGAGCTAGACCAGTACTTAGATGAGTGACCGCTTGGGAATACCAGGTGCTGTAAGTTTAGATGTGCGGTTGGTGTAATGATAATGGCTCAGAATTGTTAATCGGAGAGCCGAGTTTCAATTCCCGTTGGGTTCGTTATATTCACTTATCTTTGGAAAAAGTAGGAATCCATCTTTACTCTACTTTTACGGATTACATTCCCTGCTCCCGTCACGAACCATATTCCCTGGTCCAATTACGAACTACATTCCGTGGTCCCACAAATTCAAACCTTCACGGCAAGGACACGCTATCCCACTTACATAGTAGCAAACCACCAATATTCTCTTCCGTACTCCATCGGGGAGAAGTAAGTTCCACTCTAACAGCTTCCTTCCGCGAACCATTGCTCTGTGGAACCGATTCCCAAGAGGATCTTTCTTCCGATCACTACAATCTTAACCTGTTCAAGGCTAGGGTTAACCGTTATCTTTCACTCTTATACAAATTGCCTCCTAACGTAATCCTCTACCTCGAGTGGCCTCCGAGCCTTGTAAATCTCTATCTATAAAAGGCAGGATGTGTGTGTGTGTGTGTGTGTGTGTGTGTGTGTAACTTATGCACGGCCGCAATTTTCGACGGATTTGCTCCAAATTTTACATGCACATGCTCCAAGTTAGCGGGAAGGCCAACACCGACGTTGCATTTCCCAACTCCCATCGATAGTGGAAATAATCGATTTTTTCATGCTTCTACGGCAGTTTTCATGTAATTTGCGGCCATTTTCTACTGGCCAGAGTGAGAGTCTATAGCTGGCTGCCACGAATAGGCAGGTAGATTCTATTGGCCAGCGTGAGGGCCAACAGCTGACTGACACGAATGTTAACTAGCATGCTAGCATGCAAAAAAATCGATAGCTGCACGCGTCACAAGTTGGAAAAATTTAAATCTGCATGGCACTTTACTCCAATTGGCTCATTCGCTTGCTTAAACTCAACCTTGATTCTGATTCCGCAGAAACGGGTTGGGTGTGAAAAAGTATTTAACATTCTTTTTTCATTCGGTTTTTCCAGTTACGAGTTCTTTTTTTAAAGCTGATCGTTTTGTGTTCATTTTGTTTAGTTCTTTTTTCGTAACAGATTTATTGTTTAGTATAGAGCTTAGAAAAAGTTCGCAGAGTGAGATAGGCAAGAAGTAAGGCATGTAGCAACATCAGCACAGCAAAGGGCACTTCTTTAAAGGCAAGGAAGGGCAAAAATATTTTAAGTCAAGTGATAGCGATTGCTGTATGAGTCGTACGATTTTTGAATCAGGCACGGGCAACGCCGGGCCATGCTGCTAGTAGTAAATGTTACTGTAAATTAAAAAGAAAAACTAGCTATAGGTTAATTAGTAGGACATATACCAGTAAATTATCATCTCAAAAAAATTCTTACAAAATATTTTCTGGTTTTAAATAACCTGCAAGTGGTTAAACCGAAGAAGACGTATCAATCAGTCATATAGTTTTACAAGCAGAGTAAATATTCAAGTTCTCTTCTTAAGAAAGAATAATGATTTTGTAGCATAAAACCACGTGACTTATTTAAACAATATCCCTTTATATGACACAATCAGTTTTTCATGCAATTCAAAAGAAGATAATGATTCCTAAATTCCAATTCTTTTCTACAGGATGGAAGGAATGACCTCCAGCCAGCTGATTCAAGAAATGCTGGAAAAGTCTAAGTTAAGAGCCGAGAATGAAGAAAGCCTTGGTGAACCTGGAAGCGCTTTGGTTCCTGCGATAATTAGTAGCAACTTACTCCCCAGCCCGAGTGATTTAGCAACAGCAACGAACGTCCGACAGGAAGCTTTGGTCAGACTGCCGCCAACGCCTCACCCTGTTTTTACAGGTGCATCAGTCCACGAAAGCGGTCGTGATCTGGTGGCTATCCACACCCGAGCTGCCTCGCAGAGTTGTGGCGTTTTCTTTCAGGGCTTGGAATGTCTGGACACTAGACCAATTACCCGCAACACCAGCTATGCTACCGGTATTTGCAAAAGCTGGGGCAATATAACTAAAGTTGACAATGTTAATATTACCCTGCCGTGTACGGAGCGCATTCAAACACCCGGCATTGTGAAGTCGGCACTACGAAGGATTAGTTCCCACAAGTTTGACAAGAGAGAATCAAAACTTGCCTTACCCAGAAGAGGAAGCACCCCAAAACCTACAGACTGCCTGGAGCTGAAGGTGGTATTATCCAAATCCGACCAGATCTTCAACCCGGACACATTGAAAGCGCCTTTCCCATCCAAAAGCGGCAGTTTCCGTCGAGGGGATTATTCCGATCAGAAATTAACTTTTCTGAGCACACAGAGGGAAAAAAGCGGTAGCTTAATGAAGGTAGTAAAACCTGGGTCAGAGCCGGGGACAGAAAAGCCGGCTACCAAAGAAATGCTTCTCACGTCGCGTGAGACATCGGCCGCCAAGAAAACTGGGGGTGGTGTCGGGATGAGTGGCGGGGTCGTGAGCGGAGGAGGGGGAGTCGGCGAGAGCGCGATGTCGGAAGGCGGACGCTCGAATCTGAAAAGAGAATCAAGGAAAATCAAAGCTTTGGACACAACGGCCGTGTTCCCCTCGGAAAACGTGAGCGTTATCGCCAAGGCCGAATTGTTCGAATCGAAAGACACTTGCCCTGTGAAAACGAGTTCCATCAAGAGAGACAAATCAAACGTCGACTCCAGCAAAGACAAGTCGCCCCGTTTACTCCAGGGTGATATTTCGGCTTTTTCAACATCTAACGTTTGACAGAGTTCGAAATATTGAAGCCGTATCTGACTGCCGGCTTTCTGTTATTTATTGACTTTTTTATTGTTATTTATTGACTTTTTAATCCTGTTATTTGTTTATTTATTTACTTTTTTATTCTGTTATTTATTTGTTTACTTTTTATTATTATTTATTTACTTTTTTACTATAATTTATTTATTTATTTACTTACTTTTTAATTTATTTGTTTACTTTTTATCCTATTTATTTTTTATTCTGTTATTTATTTTATTTACTTTTTATTCTGTTATTTATTTGTTTTTACTTTTTATTGTTATCTATTTACTTTTGTATTCTATAATTTATTTATTTATTTACTTTTTTATTTTCTTATTTGTTTGCTTTTTATTCTATTTTTATTTTTTATTCTGTTATTTATTTACTTTTTTATTTTCTTATTTATTTGTTTACTTTTTATTCTATTATTTAATTATTTTTTTTATTCCGTTATTCTGTTATTTTTTGTAATCTGTTACTTACTTTTTATTTACTTTTTATTACGTTATTTATTTGTTTACTTTTTATTTTATTATTGAATTATTTTTTTATTCCGTTATTTATTTTTTTATTCTGTTATTTTTGTAATCTGTTACTTATCTTTTATTTACTTTTTTATTACGCTATTTATTTGTTTACTTTTTTCTTTTTATTTATTTACTTATTATAATTTATTGATTTATTTATTTTTTATTTTCTTATTTGTTTACTTTTTATTCTATTATTTATTTATTTTTTTATTCGGTTATTTATTTACTTTTTTATTCTCTCATTTTTTTATTTCCATTTTTAAAGCCTTCGTTTTAAAATATTTTCTGTTTCTATCATCTCTCTCTCTCTCTCTCTCTCTCTCTCTCTCTCTCTCTCTCTCTCTTACTGTGTCTTGTTTCTTTCATGTAATCTATTTAATTTATGGTTTTATTTCTTTAGCTTTTTATGTTTGAAGGTAGTCTTCAGCTTGCAACTTTTATTTTTATATGATTTTATATCATTATTTTAATCTCTTAACATTATCATTATTATTTCTTTATTCTAGATCTTTATTATTTGTATTTGAAGTTTCGATATGAAACTGATTCTGGTCACCTACTGATATAAAGATATTTAAAAAAAAAAGGATGAAAACCAAAATGAATTACATGTTGCTATTAACAGCAAAACTTTTTTTAAATATAGATTTTGTATTGAGAATGTGAGCTCTTTTCTTATTTAAGTTTCGACCAAACCAACATTGTCAAAAAAAAAAAAAAAGTTAACTAAATAGCAGTAAAACAAAATTCAAATAAAGAGTTCGATTTTTCATTAAATTAAAATTCAGTTATATATTTAGATTTTAATACGAATGATTAAATCTCGACACAAACATATATATATATATATAAAAGAATTTTTTTTTAAATTTGTGAAAGCTAAAACTGAAACATGAATTCCGGGCAAAAAATTGTTAAAAATGCTACTTCTCGCCTCAAAAAAAAAAAAAAAAAAAAAAACGAACAGAAAGAAATTAAAAAAAAGAAAAAAAGAAAAAGAAAGGTTATCTTTAACATATACTAATAGTAGATTTTATTTTCTTTGCGGTCCACCAACCAAATTGAGTATGTGTTCTGCGCATGCGTTCAGTGTTTCTCACTAACATGAACTAATCGGCGTTAATCATATGTTCAAGAAAGACAATTCATTGATTGATAAAAAAAAGTTATCTTTTTTCTACGCTCTTGTTAGATTAACATTGTTACTCGTTTTTAAAAAATGTTTAAATTGCTTTGATGTTAATATATTAGTTTTTGTTCAACACAAGCTATTTTCAGATTCTACATCATATATATATATACACACACATATGTGTGCGTGTGTCTGAGAGTGTGTATGTGTGTATGTGTGTGCAGTTTTGAATATAATTGCATGTATATATATATATATATATATATATATATATATATATATATATATATATATATATATATATAACTATATATTGACTCATATGTTTATATATATATATATATATATATATATATATATATATATATATATATATATATATATACGAACAAAAGTTTTATACCAGAGAATGTATATATTGTTTTAAAAATGCTGGAGCGCATTCTTTTTCTTTAAAACAACGTTCCCCGTCCAACACTTCTTCAGAAAAATTTGCTTTGAAAAAAAATAAACCTATAAAAAAAAAATAAAATAACTGGCAAAACAACTTGTGTTTGGAGACCCGAATTGGACAGCACGTCTTTTTTCTTTTTATGTGTCATGTCCATTCAGGGCGTATACGATCATGGCTCTCCACCTCCTTCTATCCCTTGCAATTCTTAACAAGTTCCTTCCCTCTGCTTCCTCCCACAGACCACGTTCTGTCATCCACTTGCTTAAGACATCCAGGTATGTCACACGTTGTTTTTCCTTGTCTTTCCTCCTGTTCGACTCGTGAATATCAGATTCTCCAGGTTCTACTTCCTCATTATGTGTCCCAGAAACTTCAGCTGCCTCATCCTGATGTTAAGTATAAGCATCCTCCTTGTTTGCAACCTCTCTAAGACCTCATCGTTGCTCACACGCTCGGTCCATGATATCCTTAGCATCCTTCTGTAGAACCACATCTCCGTCGCCTCGAGTCTCCTCCTCATTCTTCTACTCATAGAAGACAGGTTGGAGTCGCCGACAGTATTCACTTAACTGAGTCAGTTAGTGAGTCACCGATTGGACTACATTTGGTAAATAACCAGATTTTCGCTTTGAAATATCTTGACAAAGCTTTTTGTCTGCTGCTCAAAGCTCGGTTGGTTAATCATTTATGTTTTTTAGATGTTCATATCAAGCTTCATTGACCGACTTTGTACAGGCAGAAGAAGAACTTTCTTTGTTGTCTATGTCTCATAGGTGTGTCGTGAGTATATTTTTTTTCTGTTTTATACACACTAGAAGTTGATTTATTGTTTTAGAAATAAATTTATTTTAATTATGGTTCTTTATTTAGCCCCGTGCACGCTTCCAGTTTCGTCATTTAAGTTTTATTTACCATTTTTTGTATATTTATTTTTTAACAACGAATCTTCCTGAAGAACTGTTGAACGAAAAACGTTCCTTTTAAACAAAAAGAATGCGCTCCGTCATTTTTAAAATAATATATATATATATATATATATATATATATATATGCAATTATGTACGCATACACATTAATGTGCACTGTAGTTATTACTTTTGAACATATTAATGTTTTATATTTTTTCACATTTTTATCTTCAAGTTGCTCATTATATATCAAATAAAAATCTATTACATACATAAATGAAACTCTGCGATAATTCATAAAACTAACGTTAAAAAAAAGAGGATTCCACAAAGCAAAACAACAATTATTTAAATAAAATACACATTATAGTGTGAAACCTTGACAACATGACTCACTATATAGACATTTCCAAACAAATAAAAAATATTTAAAAAAAAAAACTTAGTAATGAAAAAAAATTATTTATTGGCTTTTTATTTGTCGTAACTGACAGTGAATAGAGAAACTATTTGGTACTATTGCCTATGAAAATAAATATGGAAAAAAAACTATTACTTTTTTTTTATTTGCGACCTTTTTTATTTGTTCATTATCTTAGCATGGGAGTGATAGATCCTCGCTGTACATGCCTGGTAACGGGAACGGTAAGACCTTCATCCTTTACTTTGGTGATAAAACAAAAGTAGCTTTCGGAGTTGCCATGAAAAGAAAAATAATTAGACAATTTCAGTTTATGAGCTGTTATCATTTGCACCAATGAGACATGACTACGTGTTTTGAAATAAAAAATTAATTTTGTATAAGAATAAATAAGTGAAAAGTTTTAAAGTTTTAATCAAATTTCGAATGTTCTATAAAGGATAAAAAAATTTAATTGAACATTCAAAAAATAATTTGATCTTTCCTCTTAATTAAGATTTTGACATAAAGAGTTTGGGAATCATAAAGATTTTGACAATAAAACATTGTTTTCATTAAGTCTGGAGTATTTTTTCATCACGACATGCTAATTTTTTACCGATTTTGTGGAGGAGGTATCAATAATATAAATAATGATGTTAAATTTATATACCATAATATTTAATAATGTGGATGACATTGATTCTAAAGGGACCGATTTTTATTAAATTTTCAGTTGTATTTATGAGAGAATTAAGCTTTCAATACGTACACATGATCCTTAGTTCAACATATCAGGAAACTATAGACCATCTAATCTCAGGATGATGTGTACTTGTTTCAAATGAATATTAAAATCGTCACGATAGTGTGAGGCACTGCTGACAATGGACAATGTACATAAACTTTGGAAAAGATGTTAATAAATACTGATGTGAACATCAGTCTGCACCGCTTACAGAAATAGAAGATATCCCAATTCTACAGAATTACACCATCTTTACAGACAGGAAGAGTGAATCAAATAGGCTGGACATAATTGTCAAAAACCTAAAAGAAAAAACTTGCTTATTAATTGATATGGTTTGCCCAGTGAACTGTAACATAGAAACCATGGAATCTGAAAAAACATCGAAGTATAAAGACAAAGAAATTGAAATAGGAAAACTGTGGAAATTTAAAACAAAAATAGTACTAGTCATAGTAGGTGCGCTTGGAATGATAAAAAAAGGAACACAACAACACATTGAAAAAATGCATGAAAATCCCAGCTTACGAAAAAATACAAAAAATGTCTTGATAAGTACAGCTCACACACTAAGAAGAACTTTGTCCATGTAATTCTAGTAATGCTATAGGAGTTAGAAAAACAAATCATGAAATGTAGCCATATCAACACACCACTACCTGCCTCTGGTCTTCCCGCAGGTTTGGTAGGTAGTGTGACTATAGCAGAAATCGAAATATAATAAAATGATAATAATTTGTTGTGCTCGGAACCGAACCAAAAATGCTAGAATTCAGAAATTCTGGCAAAATCTTAGAGGTCTGTGAAGTTACAGATGATAAAGATGCCGGTAGTTTAAATAAACTTCCCGCCACTCAATCACTCAAGACAAATAATGTGAACATTGAAATTTACGAATTAATAAGAGTAAAAAGAATAATAATAGGAATAAAAAAACACTTCGCGGTATAAGTTAACTCTGTTGTCTTAATCATTGGAAAAAAAGAAAAGAAAATATTTTAAGTATTGGTAAATTTGAAAAAGAAGTCAAACCTTGGAAAGTGTCAGAATCTTCGCAGAAATCGCCAAGACCTCGAACTGAAAAGCTTTGCCTTCGTCAACGAAGTTCTGGTCGAGGTTCCGAAGTTATTTTGAAGAAGTCTGTAACAAATAGGAATTGGGACCATGAGAAATCCTGTAAATGTGACCCAATTTACAAAAAAAGAAGACGAATTTCCACACAACGGTCTTTGCACAAGTTCAATAAATAAATAAAAAGTTCAGTCAGTTTTAAATTTGTTTAAAAAGAAAAGGCTCTGGATATTAAAAAAACTACAAAGGTTTTAAGCAGCATTTCTACTGAAAATGATTAGATGCAGATAATATTAGATGCAGATAATATTTCCAGTGCCATCCTGAAAGATTACAGCTTCGGCAAAAGAAGAAGAGGCAGACAAAGAGGAAAACAGGATGTTAACGTCACTGATCAGATTAGAAGATCCTGCAGAGATATTCAGACATTGACACGCAAACGAGACATATGGAGGGGGCTGGTCAAGTGCTCATATGTGTAGCCACCCTACGACCACACCTAGTCATAGAACTGATGCTGCTCATGATGATGATGATGATCTGTTTTCAGTTAAAATAGAAAGCTGCAGTCTGTTTTCAGATTTTGGTCGTTGTTTCAAGTGATTCATAGATTTAAAAAAATCTATGTAAGAAGAAGCAGCAGACGGAGAAAAAAATGGACTGACATCATCA